TCTAAATATTTTTTAATATTTCTCCTAATAAAATGAAGGGCAAGATCGCCTAAGTATAAAAAAAAAAAAAAAAAAAATTAAAACAATTTGAGACACAAGTTAATCTAGATAGTTCTTAAATAAGACAGCACAGAATTAACATAAATTAAATATTAGATTAAAATTGAGTTGTATAGAGATACTAGAAGATTTAAATAGAATATCTACAGATAGATACTAGGTATAGATAATCTAAATAACAGAGTCTTTAAATAGACAATAACTAAAGTTGTACACATAACCAATTGTACTCTCACTAACTAATATAAACTTAAGAATAATACTTAATAAAAATAATCTGTGAATAGCTTATTGAAAAAATAAAATAAAAAATTAAATAAGTAATTTTCAAATAGATTTTAGATTTAATAACTAGTAGATAATCTTAAAACAGAACTCTTAAATACTGAAATTGTATAAATCAGTATATGGGGTTGAGTCAATAGAAATCAAGCAAATTTTTTCTAAGTAAATTTTTTTGAAACTTTAATCAACAATAACTTAGCAAAAACTTTATCAAAATTAATATAAATTTTTTTTAAAATAAATATTACAAATTGTAGAATTCATTTAAAAAAATTTTTATTAAATTTGATAAAGCTTTTGTCGAATTATTGTCGTTTAAAGTTTCAAAAAAATTTTAATAAAAACAATTTGCTTGATTTCTATTGACTCACCCCCATATAACGATAACTAGTTATACTCTTATTATAAATTATAATCACTATAACTAATAAGCTAATAAAGTTAAACTACAAAGCAATTTGTAAATTAAAAAACCTATTATAATAAGAACTATACAAAAATATACAAAACTTGGTTATTACTTTTAAAAAAAAAGATAATCATCCCCTTGTACTTGTACTTCGATGAAATTGGCAAACAGCCGAGAACCAGGAATGGCATCATCCGAAACTACAATTGGATGATTCAATTTGAAATTCAGAACACATGTCAAGCACACGGAAAATTATTGGACGATGCATGTCTCTTTTGTGTACTGTGTCTCCTGATTCCGGAAAACAAAAAACTTTAGTTATTTATGGAAATCGTATGGATAGCATGTGAGGCCATGAGACGTTCCCATTAGCTAATTCTTTCCGCCAAATTTTTGTGTAGCATTGGAGCTCAAAATTCGATTGGCTTATTTAGTGTATGAACGGAAACTTGCGACATTTTAATTACTAAAGATTGGCAGAGTGCATATTATGCAATTTAGGGAGACCTCTCTCAAAAGAATCTGATTGGCCAGTCTATTGGACAGACCAATCAGATTTCATTGAGGAAGGTGCTTGAGAACCTATAACAATGAATTCAATATTTTTATTAATAATACAGAATATAGTTCGTAGGAAAGTTCTATGAATTTATATGAAAACATAGTAGTTTTCTACGACTTTTTTTTCGGAATGCTAGAGTTTCTGAGGATTTTTGCATTTAAGAACAGTTTTTTTTCAAAATAATTTCTGTTTTTTCCTTCTAGACTAAACTGTCGTGCAAACACATGTAATACACGTAAATTAAATTACCACCTTAATTAGTTTGATATTCGAGTGGACATTTTTTATTTATACACTGGTCACTATATCTAGGGTTCTTTATTTATAAACGGAATTTCACCCAAGACACCCAATGTAGAACTATTAGCATCCTCGACATTTTTTGTTAGTGCGTTAATATAGGTTTAACTGCAGTTTTTCATATTTTCGCTTTTTCACTTGGTGATCCGCACAATAATTCTCTTCGCCAGCCAATAAGATTTAAGAGATAGAGTTAGGGTATAAAAATAGCGAATTTCATAGTAAAAACAGTCGAAACTTAATATAATTTTTGAATGGGGTTTGCTTATACATAAAAGCATTTTTTTTTTTTTTTTTACTAAGTAAATCTTTCTTGAGCAAAATCGGTTCGGTAATCCCGAGTTATAGAATTTTTAATTTTTTACTATTACAGCTGTTCTGGGACAACTGATAAAATTTTGACTGCCGAATTCGATAAGTTATTGATTTCGGTTGATAAGTTATTTATTTCGACCGAAATCAGTAACTTATCGAATTCGG